CACTCAGTATTTGTCCATAGAATCCTTCAATATTGCAACTCAACCTTTCAATTTTTTCTTCAGTTCTTTCAGCTTGAGAAATGCTGAGCATGTTCTTCCCATCAATTGCATATGAACAATTGATGTTCTGTTTCTTAGTCAGCTCCGGCCCTTCTTTTAACTAATGATACTGAGCTTTGCCATCACTTCTTTCCATAGATTAGTCAATCTGATTCCTGCATATTCCATCTGGCAAAATCATGCATAAAGCCACCATTTCATGTTGTTGAAAAAAGTATTGGCAATGAATAAGTCATTGGTCTTGCAAAATTCTATCATGTGATTTCCAGCATCATTTCTATTACCAAGGCTATATTTTCCAACTATAGATGCTTCTTCATTTCCAACTTTCACATTCTAATCACCAGCAATAAGCAATACATCTTGATTGCATGTTTGGCCAATTTCAGACAGCTGAATTTGGCCAAAATCTTCAATTTCTTCATCTTTAGCTTTAGTGGTTGGTGTGAAAATTTAAAGAATAGCAGTGTTAACTGGTCTTCCTTGTAGGCATATGGATATTATCTTATCACTGACAGCATTGTACTTCAGGATAGATTGTGAAACATTCTTTTTGATGATGAATGGCATGCCGTTCCTCTTTAATCTGTCATTCCCGGCATAGTAGACCATATGATTGTCTGATTCAGAATGGACAGTACCAGTCCATTTCAGCTCAGTAGTACCTAGGATATAAGTCTTTATTCATTGCATTTAATTTTTTACAACTTCCAATTTTGCCTACATTCATACTTCATACATTTCACATTTCAATTATTAATGAATGTTTGAAGCTGTTTCTTCCCATTTTTAATCATGCCCCATCAGAAAATGAAGGGCTCAAAGGCTTTACTCCATCCACATCATTAAGGGCAACTCTACTTTGAGGAGGCAGCTTTTTGTCAGTTGTATTTTGAGTGCCTTCCAACCGGAGGGTCTCATTTTCCTGCATTATATCGGACAATGTTTCATGGTTATTCATAAGATTTTCTAGTAATAAATCAGACACTGCTTCAGTGCTATTCATAAGGTTTTCAGTGGCCAATTTCTTCAGACACAGATGGCCCCATCCTTCTTCCCAGTCTGTCTTAGTCTGTAAACTCCACTGAGACATACACACCATGGGTGACCTTGCTACTATTTGAAATATTGGTGGCAAAGCCTCCAGCCTCACAGCAACAAGCAAGCCACCACAGGATGATAAAGTGACAGATGAGTGGTAGATGAGCATTTTACTAATATATAAATATATATCCAGTAATATTATACATTGTTTATGTTGTAATCACCTACAGGTGATTAGAATTTAAATA